GTAGAGGAACACTCTGGATGATGTATACAATCTTGGGAAACCGGAGTGAAAAGCATGAGGTTAGCACAAGCAACCTGTCTCATCAGGAACTAAAGGAAATAATTTTGGAATAGGACATAAAGGCTTGAGCAAAAATAAATTGACAAATAAAAAAGAAAGGTGAACCTTAAAGATCAGGGTTCAGAAAGTATAAGAAATCTTGGAAAGAAATTGGGATAATTTCAGCTTAGAAAAGTCAAGTTAAACAAACTAAGGATATTATAACAACTGTTATATATCCACATAAAAAATTTTGATTAAATTTTAAGAGTTAAAATAGTCTACAATCATTGGTGAAAATTCTGAAATCCATTACCAGTAGCTTATAAATTTTTTTAATAGTGATTATTTATGCTATATTTAAAATTATTTTTTCAGATCTTCTGTTAATCATGACATAGTTTTATTTTTGATGTTTAGAAATATAACATTAGAGACATAATACCTCAAATGAACAGTAAGAAAAAATAATATTGACATTGAGTTAAACTATAATGTTGTCATTAACTTTGTAAAGTATCCCAAAGAGAAAACCCAAAACAACTTCATAAAAGCATAACAAATGGAATTCCGCTCAGATTCTTACAGGAGATAGGTGATACATCACTTTGTAGTCATAAGATATAGAAGCCACAAGGTTTTCATACAGTTTCTAGTGGAGGAAGTACTTCATACCTGTAGCCCAAGCACCCTAAATTCTGTGTATGAGCCAAGTATACATTAATGTCAAGAAATGCCAACAGTCAAAGTGAGTTCAATGTGCTATACTTCTGATTTGCTCTATTGAGCTTGCACTGTATCCCTACAGAAACATTGCTACTTTGAATGGCCACTAGCGATTGTGTGTACCAGCAAAATAGCTTTGAAGAGTGAATGAATACCATCTACTTGTTTTGCTTGGCTTGTTGTAGGCAAGTATTAGAAAAGGAATTGGTGAAATGCAGTTAAGAATGCTTCAAATCCTTAAGGAAGGGTGAGGGAAAGGAAATTAATAGCAGTAAAAAACATTGTAATAATGCATGTGTGCAAAAAAGTGACATTTCATTTGACCACTCAAAGGAACTTGTGTGGAGATAAATAAGGAAATTTTAAGATATCAATTGAAATTTATTTCAGATATTTTCATATCTTATACTTGGCAAGTAATTGTTTTAAAAATAAATTTGAAAGGAAAACATAAACTTAATATTTATTTCTATATACAAGTATTAGCCTTCTCTTGGTCAAAAAAGAAATTGATACCTGCTGCCTAATGAAGAGAAGTTTATTTGGCTTACAGTTTCAGAAGACTCAGTTTATCCTCAGTTCCAAGACAAGAACATCATGGCAGAGAGGCATAATGGAGCAGAGCTGCTTAGTTCATGGCAGCTAGCAAGGACAGTAGAGGAATGGTGTCAGAAGGAAGAGGTCAGGGTCCAAATAGAGTACCCAAGTTCAGGCCTAGAGACAAAACCCAAAATATACTTTAACTAATCCTATAGGTGGCTTACAAGCCAATCAAGTTCACAGTGTGGCTTAACTGTCACAATACACTAAGGAAAAATCAGATTTTACAGGTAACTTTAAAATACATTTGAAATTGTCATCATATTTACAAGCACTCAGAGCTACAAAATATTCCTGTTGGAGTTACACAACAACCACAGAGCTCTGCACATGTATTACAATGTGAATGGTGCACCAAAAGCACTGCTATTTTCTTTTTTTTCCATTGAGTTTATTGGTACATTTTAGGTATACAATACAGTTACATTCATCATTGGGAATTTGTACCATTGCATGATATATCTTAGTTCTTATTTTTTCCCCATTCTCCTGCCCTCCCTTCAATCCTTCCACCTCTCCGTATCTACAAAGACTTTGTTTCCATTTATTTCCTTTTCTCATATTTATTCCTTTCTCTTCCCCTCCCCTCCCACTTCCCCTTCCCCTTTGGGCAATGCCTTCCTATTTCACGTTATCTATTATATATTTCAATCCTTATTTACACTTTCAGTTTCACACACCAGAGAAACTATTCGGTATTTACACATGTGTGTCCTATTTATTTCACTTAAGAGTATTGCCTCAATGTGCATCCATTTAGCTATAAACGTCTGTAGTTTCTTGTTCTGTGTGGCTGAGTAGTACTACATTTTATTTTTAAAAACCCCACATTTTCTTTATCCAGTCTCCAGCTGATGGGCAATTGGGCTGTTTTCAAGACTTAGCTATTACAAACTGTACCACTATGAACATGGGTGCACATATATCACTGTGGTATGATGCTTTTAATTCTTTGGGGAAGACACCCAGCAGAGGAGTAGCTGGCTCAAATGGGACCTCTCAGTCTAGTTGTTTGGGGTATCTCCATATTGATTTCCACAGTGGTTGCACCAGTCTGCACTCCCACCAACAAAGGAGAAGGGTTCCCTTCTCCCCATAGCCCCGCCAACATTTGTTGTTGGTTGATTTCTTGATAGCAGCCATTCTTTCTGGGATGAGGTGGAATCTCAGTGTTGTTTTCATCTGCATCTCTCAAATGAACATCACTGGTCATTAGAGAGAAACATTATTTTCACAATTATTCTAGAGTTGCTAATACCTTATATTTAATATTAGAATTCTGAAATATCACTAGGAATCAGGACAACATCACATTGGATTATAAATATAGTACTTGAAAGTTGTAGCTTTATAACAGTAAAATAAATTTATAAGTACCTAACAAGTTCTATAATTTTATTTGCAAATGGGTCTAAAAATTTAAAAATCTTTCAAATACAAAATTTTAAGAATTAATAATTTTGAGAATACCCTTTGTATTTCTGTGATACCAAAATGTTTTGTTTCACAGTTAGGAACACAGTCTGAGTAATCCTATAAGCAATAACATGGCCGCTTTCTCTACAAAACAATCCACTTCTATCAATTTTTTGCCTTAATAGTTTCTAAACCAATTTCTATGCCAACTAAACTGCAGCTTTGAAATTGAGAGGTATCCAGAACTTCACTAGAATGAACACATTTTTCGCTTCCTATTTAAGTACACGTGGCTCAGATCTGCACATGTGCCCACACCCACATGCACACACACACGCACACACACAGACACACACACACACACACACACACAATGTAGACAGAGTACCATTCTTAGCATTTATCATTCTCATAATTTCCAACATAAAAATTGCTAAAAGCTTTCATTGCTTCAGTAGTTTTATTAGTAACTTGTGTGTTTTTAATAAAACTACTGCAATATATAAAGGCAACAAAGCTCCTAGTAGATTATACATCACTTCAACATGCCACCATTGGGGAAGAAATAAGGGAGGTTACATTTTTGCTCTTGGGAACTTAAAAAGGTAAATTAATTTATGCCAACAAAGAGAAATCAATAGCACATTGTGCACAAGAGAAGAATCAATCATCAATTCTCTGGCTTCTGTATTCATAATGACATGAATTTATTGAGGAAAACGTCGCCCTCGATATGAACTGAGTTTGCCACAGAAGTCTCTCAGCTCATCCAAGACACAGTCAAAGCCCCCGCGCTGGAATTTTGCAGTGGCCCCCAACAGGATTCCACACAAAGGGTAACTGTGTCCCCTTGCTATCCTTCAATAGCATTCTGAGAATTATAAATCTTATTTCAAAATGTAATAATGGACATTGCCATCTATTTTATCTTCACACATGAATTTTAATTTTATCCAGGGTTCTCTGAAAATAGCTTAAGTATGTGCAACTCTCTATTACTTTTGTTACATGCACAGAAATACATCAACAGTTATTTCTGCCCACCCCCATTTCCCCTTCCTCTTGTATTACAAGTTTTCCTTCTATTTTTCATTATTTTTAGGTTTTACATACTAGGGAAAACACAGAATATTTGTCTTTCTGAGTCGATCTTACTTCATTCCACACAATGATCTGTTGTTCTTTTCATTTATCTGCATATGACAGAATCTTGTGGTTTTATGATATTCCATGGTGCATATACCCCACACTTACTTTATATATGCATCTGTTGATGGGAAATTAGGTAGTTCATGTCTTGATTATTGTACATCGTACTGCAATAAACATGAGTACGCAGGTATCTTTATGGTATGGTGACTTCAATTCTTTTAGGTATATACCAAGGAGTGGTATTGCTGGATCAAATGACAGCTTTATTTTTAAATTTTTGAAGAAGCTCTACATTAATTTCCATAGTGACTGTATTAATTTACATTCCCAACTGCAATGTAGAAGGAAGATTTCGCCTATTCTCTGCGACATTTATTGCTTTTTGTGTTCTTGATGATAGTCATTCTCACAGAGGTAAAATAGAACTCAATATAACTTTGATTTGCGTTTCCCTAATGGCTAAAGATCTTGAACATGTTTTCATATATTTATTAGCCATTTGTACTTCGTTTTTGTACAAATGTCTGTTTAATTCTTTTATGCAGTTATTTATTTGGCCATTTGATTTTCTAATGTTAAGTTTCTTTTAAGTCTTTATTTCTGTCAGTACATGTTTACAGTGCATAATGATTACATTTGGTGTTGGGATTTGTTACATGTACAGAACACATTTTAATTCTTTTTACTTTGCCCCCCCTTCCCACTTGGTTACCTTCCCTTTTGCAAAAGATCTATCTCCCTGTTTCCTATCATCTAGCTTTTATTTTGCTGTTTAATTTATTTATATTTTATATTTTAATTTATTTATATATTTTATATTCATATATTTATATTCTCATATAAGAGAAACCATGCAATATTTAAATGTTTCTTATTTACTTCACTTAGTATTATGGTATCAGATACACCCATTTTCCTATTAAAGACCCAATGTTAGCATTTTTATGGTAGAGTAGTACTCTATTATGTATAATACTACATTTGCTTTATCCATTCATCTGTTAATGACACATAGGCTGCTTCCTATATTTAGCTATTATGAATTGTGCTGCTATAACCATGGGTATGCATGTATAACTGTGATACTGAGTTCTTTTTAGATTCTAGGTATTAATCCTCTGTCAGAACCATTTGTGGTCAAGATTTTCTCTCATTATATAACTTGTCTCTTTATTTTGTTGATTTTTCCCCTTGCTATTCAGAAACTTTTAAATTTGATTTGTCCTGTTTATTGATTCTTGCTATTATTACCTGTGATGTTGGAACCCTAGCCAACAAGTTTTTGCCATTGTCTATGTTTTCATATGTTTTCTCTTGGCAGATTCAAAGTTTCCGGTCTTCACCTAGGTCTTCAATCCATTTGACTTCATTTTTGTACATGTTGAGAGACAAAGTTCTAGTTTCAGTCTTCTACAAGTGGCTATCCAGATTTCCCAGAACCTAAAGAGGTTGTATTTTCCCCAGAATAAATTTTTGGCTTCTTTGTCCAGAAGCAGGTGGCCATTGTTGCACAGGTTTGTTTTTGTTTCCTCTCATCTTTCCTATTGGTCCACGTATCTACTTGACTGCAGTACCATGCTGCTAGTGTTACTATTGTTTTCTGGTATAATTTGAAATTTGGTAGTGTGATGCCGCCAGGTTTCCTCTTGTTTTATGGGAGTTCTTTAGTCATTTTGTATCATTTTTGTTTCCACGTGAATTTTTAAGTTTGTTTTGCCTAGTCTCAAGTATAATGTCATTGGTATTTTGGTGGGGATTGCATTGAATCTGTAGATAATTTTGATAGTATTGTCATTTCAACAATATTAATTCTATCACTCTTAAATTGAATAAAAAGTTCAAAATATTTGAGTACACTGAAAATAAAGGCTTTAAGAATGTTAACATATTTTCTATGTGCTTTTTATGTCTTCAATATAAGTTTTATTTGCAGAATCATATAAAAATGTTGAAATGAAGACTAATCTCGACTCAAATTGAAAGGTACAGTTTTGGGTCTTTTATCCTAAAATGTTTTATGAAAAACTACTTTTATGGCTGTACTAGTTTGCAAAGAAACTGTAGATTGAGGCTTCAGATTTTAAAAAAACGATTAGGCACAGAGAAAACTTTGAATTAATAGTATTCCCCAGAAAGTGAGAAACAGAAATCCCAACACAAATGACGTGAGACCAAATAAAGCTGAGGGCCAAATATACCTAACACACACATGCACACGCACACAGACACACACACACACACATACACGCACACGAGCTGAAATCATCCACCTTCATTTGTGAAGACCAGATCATAGATACCCCAACACAGAGAGTTCTAAATGACAATTGCAGTTTAGATTCTAGAGTCTAGGCAAAACGAGAAAAGGATTTCCACTTCCATTTGCTTTTTTCCTAGTGAGGTTTCTGCCTCGGGATGAGATGTTAATATTTTGTGGCCGTCACCACATAGGTCCTGTCTCAGCTCTGTGGTGTTCCGGAAAATTCCAAAATACTTTCTAGTTGACTGCCTGACAGATCCCACTTCGAGCCTGCTGCCAGTTTCTGAGAAGTCCAGGGTTCTACCTCATCCCCACACATGTAACAGAAGCTTCTCAGTGACAGAGTACAATGCCTGAAACGGAGAAAGTTTTGAAATCAAGGGAGCAAATTGTTAAATGTACCATTTGTGAGAAATATTTTAAGTCACTGAATCTCAGTCTGTCATTACAAAAGAGCATTGCCGTGAAGATTACTGCAATAAAATACACAAATCACTTAACTCACTAAAATTACTCAATATTTGTATTATTATATAAGTCTAAGGTAATTAATTTTATATGACTATCTAGGTTTCTTGAACAATGAAGTCTCCCTACTATTCCTATGGTTCTTAATCCTGACTTCATTGGCATAAAAAGAATACATCAGTTTGATATGTGTCATGAAACTACCAGTAAAATCTCCTAGGAAAGGGGCCCACCATATTTAGAAAGCTTCAGGGATAATTTCGAAGGTCAGTTAACTTTGCAACATTTTCTTCTAAACTATGATTTCATGCTAAAGTCTAAGTCTGCTGTGAATGAGTTCATGAAATAATCACAGAATTAAATGCAGTTCTCTAAATATACTATGGATAAGTATACTCCTTTCTGATGTCAAAATATTCTACTTGTATTAATGCAGCCTCATGTATGGATGAATAAAGACTACTTATTTTTATCACTATGATTCTCAAATCAATTCACTGTAATTTGGAGTTTGCCTTGTAATTTTTGTTTACCCAAAATGCAGGATTTGGCTTTTTTTTTTCCCTTTTTCACATCTATTGTTAATTTCTGCAAGTCTCTGGCAATGAATCAGGATTAGCAGATGTATTATTATGGCCTTCTCAGCCAGACTGTACCATGGCCAAATTTGATAAGTAACCATTTATTTGTTCATCAGAACTGTTTGATAGCGTTGTGGTTGGATAAAGGGTAGAGGACACAGGAGAACACGTAAGTCCTGATTACTCCCTCAACACCTCTCAAACCCTAAAACACTGGAAAGCTATTCAGATATCAGGTGCAGGTTATTTATAGAGGTGAGTCAAAAAGTCCAAATGCACATTTTTTCAAGTATTTATCAATAAGCACTTTCAAATATAAATAACAATATTTAAAACATTCTAGTATTTTAGAATGAGGCAAGAAGATTCAAACATGTCACTTGCTCATTGGAGTTACTGGAAATGGTCAGAACAAGGGAAAGGGGGTGGAAAAAAGAAACTGCATAGAATTTTATTGCTATAAATTGCCTTCAATATTAGAGAACTATTACATCATTTTACCTAGAAAAAAGTAAAGAAATTATTTGCAAAAGGTTGCTAGTCAAGTGCTAGAATGCGGGTCTTCTCTAGTCAATATTTTTTTTCACAACAATAAAATCCCAAGAAAATCTTAAGGTATCTATGACAGTAGGCAACCTCAGTGATAAATTTGAATGTAAAACAAATATTACAAATATTTCTTTGCAGTCTTTCACAGTACTCATATATATACTATATATATGCAACATTTATAATCCAATATCATTCAAATTCCTATCTTTAAAATACTGGATCAAGAATGATGGAGATAGTTATATAAGTAATTACACTTTTACATATCTAACAAGAAATTGTGATTAGAGTCACAACAATCCTTCTTAATTTTTCACATAAATAAAATGTAAATACCTACCATCTTGACTTGCTTTAAAAGCAGATGCAATTTAGGGAGTGTTTTAGGAAAAGTCTCTTTGCAGTAAGATTACCAAATACTTTTGTGTGAAAACATGAGTATGCTATAGCACTGCAATATAAATCAATTATTTCAACCTGACACTGGCCAGAAGCTGTAGTGTTAATTAAGAAGCTGAACTCCAGGATCCCTTTGCTACTGCTTGTTAAATAGTTCATCACAAATGTTTTTTAAAAATCTCAGCATAGGCAAACTCTAATGCATTACTGCCTAGAGAAGGAGGCAGATGTCCATCTGGTTGGGATTATAACAAATTCAAGTAAAGAAGGAATGAAGAAAGTGTTCCTCGGGAGGTAAACCACCTCATGCATTCACAGAAGTGCTATGCTGACTTTAAGACTTTAAGACTAGCTCATTGGCATAAGAAAAGTGAATGCAATAAAAGTAATTGCCACTTAGGCAACAGGTATAATTTCTCATTTATATATATCAGAGTGGTACAACTGTGAATATAGCTATGTATCCTAACACGAGCAAGGGTGTTAGCTTAACCATGGAAAAATTAAAGTCCACACCTTCTCTTCATGCTTCCAGGAACAGGCTTCAGAGATTATGATTTTTATTTTCAGATCATACATTTTATTTAAACAGAGAACTATCTTGAAAAGAAACAAACAAAAATCATAATCTGTAAAGTTAAAGACAGGCTGTTCCTTCTGAAAAGGAGGCATTCTGGTCTTCCTCGGTTAGGCTTGGGATCCCCCAAACCAACTAAGTGTTCATGGGCCGAAGTAGGTCTCCCAGTGAGAACGTGAGCACCTAATTCTGAGTGAGGATTCTGTGGGGACACAGATACCCCCATGGTTGTCCTTCCTCAGAGCTTTATCAGCAAATACAATGGATAACGCTCCTAAACCCGTCCTGTCGGGCAAAGATTTTACTCGCATCTTTGTCCCACTCATAATGCCCACCATTCTTCCTATCTACGCAAATTCTACTCACCTCACACGTGAATTTCAAAGTATTTCTTTTCTCAAATTTACACTAAACCTTAGGATTCACATTGCTCTCTCATTCAATCCATAGGACAGATTTCAATGTGCCTCAATTGGCATTTGAATTGCAAGTGATACATTTATACAGGGTCATTCTTTTCTAACTGGCCTATATACTCTGTGGCATTAGCAGCAATGTTCCTACTGAATTGTTGATCCAACAGTGGTTGTATTTCACAGAAGAAAACCTCCTATATTGTATGAGTTCATTGAACTTTTGTGAACTATCCTAGAATCTTACTACTTTGAGCAATTTTCCCAGACAAAACTTTTCTCAACTCCAAATAATATACAAATGAATTTAGGGAATACAGTAAATATGTAAATTGGAATTTTATGTATTTATTCAACTCATGAAAAGAGTTGAAAAACTAAAACACACCTGCTAACTTAAAGAGGTAAAATTAAATGAGAAGCTTTGATTTCTTGTTCATTCTAGTTCTATTTACCTGCAAATATACAGTTAGCATTATGGTAAAAAATACTGAATGTGTATTCCTTTCAGTTCCTTCACAAACCGACACTCACAGAATATGGGATTCCATATGATCTTGAAAAAATATGTTATACATTTCCTAGCTTTTCACGCAGTGAGAAAATGAACATATCAAGTATATGGATACCATAATTTTTTAAATATCCAATGAATGTGCAGGTCCAATATAAAGCACTAGAATTTTGATTTGAACTTTTGGCTGAAATTCTAAAAGATATCTTCTGCCTAGCCTTTTATGCATGTCTTGATTTGTTATTTTAAGCTAAATACAATACAGAACTAGTTATCAATTCTCTTGCCAAATGAAGCATTGCTTTAACTGCCCCAAAGATGCAAGTCATTCAACAAAATCAAAACTGCTCCACATTTAAGTGAGGACACTGCCGAGCTTGTACAGTGCTGCAGTGCCTGGGCTGGTTTATTGTAATTATTTAAGCATTAAGAGGATTATAGATTGGTTAAGTGCATTCCAACTCCTATGTGGAAATCCAATGTAACATGTTAGCATTAAGCAAAGAAAGAATTTAATACATTAACAACATTCAGTCTAAAGTGTCTCTCAGAGAAAATGCTTTAGAACACTGCAATTATCTTAAACATGGATGCAACACTGTTGAATGCTGAGTATTTATAAATTTAACACTGTTATGTTTCCCTGGGATAAACAGGGATTGTTACAGCAATGTAAATGCTTTAGCTTAGAGAGATATAAGTGATGGATCATAATTTTTGTAACACCATAAAGCTATCTAATGGAATGTAAGCAAATGCAGTGCTTTATCTGGAAGGTTTCCAACATTCTGTAAATGCTATAATAAATGTTTAATGGATCTCCTTAAAGAGAAGTTTCTCTTTAAGGCTTTGCATTTATCCTTTCTCACTATAAAGTGGATTAAAATTTTTCCTAAATGATGTTTTCAGCAGGAGCACCAGAAAATATGTCTCGAAAATTGGAGAAGTTGCTTTCAATAGTCCTTTAGTTCGAAAACAAAAGAAAGCAAAACAAAACTTTACTACCACTAATTTCCTCAAAGCACCAATAATTTCCATGCTGACTAGAGTCCATCATCTCTTGTGTTTACCTTACTTACCCAGTTAACAATTCCCACTTTCTTAAAAACCTCTACTTTTAAAAATTTTAGTTTCTTCTCTCCTGCATTCTCCTGTGGGTGTGTATGTGCGTGTGTGTGCATGTGTGTGTGTGTACGCGTGTACATGCTGAGGATTAAAA